TCTATATGGAGCAAATAAATTGTTCCTCTGGGTCATAAAGTCAGCTCATATTTTTTCTTCTTCATTATGCTTTCAGGTAGCCTATATATTTAGACATTATTACATTTATTTTCCTATTTCCAATTTGTTCCAATGGGAGTGCAATTGACCCGCGAGGGAAGGATTTGTTACTATTTTTATTGCAACCGCACGAAACTCCTCGAATTCAGTCAATTTGTGTGTGTGTGTGTGTGTGTAATTGTGTCAAACTGTTTAATAGTTTAATTGTGACAAAAGTCCTACACTCTAAAAAATGCTGGGTTGTTTCAACCCAAAATTGGGTCAAATATGGACCAACCCAAATGTTGGGTTAAAAATGTTTTTTTTTAATTTTAACCCACTTCAACTATCACTTTCAACTTTTAACAATGGACATTTTAAGTGTTAACACACCAAAACATCTCAAGATGCTGCTGATGTGAGAGCATTTGCCAAAACTTATATATTCATATATGCGATATCAAAGCAAACATAGCCTATACTGTTCTTTTTGAATGTTTTAAAATAGCTAGAAAAAATAAATTTCTTTTCTTTTCATTTTTAAAAAGTGAGTGTTCATCGGAGTGGTTCAAGGCCTTACACTCTAAAAAATGCTGGGTTGTTTCAACCCAAATTTGGGTCAAATATGGACAAACCCAAATGTTGGGTTAAAAACGTAATTTAAAAGTTGAAAGTGATAGTTGAAGTGGGTTAAAATAAAAAAAAAACCATTTTTAACCCAACATTTGGGTTGGTCCATATTTGACCCAAATTTGGGTTGAAACAACCCAGCATTTTTTAGAGTGTAAGGTCTTGAACCACTCCGATGAACACTCACTTTTTAAAAATGAAAAGAAAAGAAATTTATTTTTTCTAGCTATTTTAAAACATTCAAAAAGAACAGTATAGGCTATGTTTGCTTTGATATCGCATATATGAATATATTAGTTTTGGCAAATGCTCTCACATCAGCAGCATCTTGAGATGTTTTGGTGTGTTAACACTTAAAATGTCCGTTGTTTGAATGGATGAATGCTCGTTGTGACTCGTGTGAGAGCGCCGGTATTTGCGCAGTTTTCGCGTGTATGCGCACTCCACACCCCTAATCCTCCCCAAGGGATTTACAGCGGGTATCACATGTATGCAAAAACTATGTTTAGCTATAAACGTTTAGCAGGATAAATAAAATTCGTGCTACAGATACGCATTTTGATGAGATCGTGTTGGATCAGAGACCGGGAATGCTTCAGCGCACAGGACAGGCTCAGATCACTCCTCATAAAGGCTTCCTCTCTAGCTGTGAGCTTGATCAGATTCCCATCACAAATTCCAGACATTTTTTTCCACAGCGTTCCTCGAGTTCCTTGAGCAGGAGCATGTGGATTGTCTGCGGGCGGCGTGTTCACTGCTGTTAAACGGGCTCCACACCACAGACCCCCTCTGGTTCTCAGGACCTCTGGTTCTCAGCATCTCTGTCTCTCTCTCATGCACATTCCGATCCCAGGTTGCCAGGACAGCGTCCAAAAATCCCTGCTCTCCAGTAATGAGCCTGTGAGCTGGGCATGAGCTCCTGGATCAGATGGGAACTCGAAAGGGGCTTCTTGGGTTCATTTAGGGGGCAAAGTTGAGGTGTAAAACTCACGTTTGGCTTTGATTGTCCTCAAATGTTCCATTAGTGTGAGGATTCAGGATATTTGTATGTTTGAAAGTTGTGTAATGAACATGAAAGTTAATCCGTACGGTGTTGCCGCCAGGCAACATGCTATTTTAGTTTATTTTGAATAAAATGAGACCTATACCTAACTCAGAGGAGAATAACTCAAATACTTATCAATGAAAGTGCAAAAAATATCATCAAATGTTTTAGAGTCTGTAACAAAAAAACTGTGTGTTGCCTCAAGGCAACATTGTACCACAACGAATCACATAAGACCATACCAGGTTATTGGATACATGAAAATGTTAAAGGGATTCTCCACTTTTTTTGGAAATAGGCTCATTTTACAACTCAGAGTTAAACAGTTGGGTTTTACCGTTTTCGAATATATTCAGACGATTTTTTGATATTTAGAAGAATATCAGTAACCAGACAGTTTCTGGTCTCATTGACTTCCATAGTAGGAAGAAAAAATATACTATGGAAGTAAATGAGACCAGAAACTGTCTGGTTATTGAAATTCTTCTAAATATCAAAAAAATCGACTGAATATATTCGAAAACGGTAACGGTTTAAAACTCACGTTTGGCTTTGATTGTCCTCAAATGTTCCATTCGTATGAGGATTCAGGACATTTGTATGTTTGAAACATGAAAGTTAAACCTCTATGGTACGGTGTTGCCAACACTATCTCACGATCAATTCGTACGAATTCGACGCATCGGGTTGGTGTTGCCACCAGGCAACACAGTCTATTTTAGTTTATTTTTAATAAAATGAGACCTATCTGTTAAACCTATCTCAGAGGAGAATAACTCAAATGCTTATCAATGAAAGTGCAAAAAATATCATCAAATGTTTTAGAGGCTGTAACAAAAAAAAAAAAAACTCTGTGTTGCCTCAAGACAACATTGTACCACAACCAATCACATAAGACCATACCAGGTTGGATATATGAAAATGTTAAAGGGATACTCCACTTTTTTTTTTTTTTTTTTGGAAATAGGCTCATTTTACAACTCCCCCAGAGTTAAACATTTGGGTTTTACCGTTTTCGAATATATTCAGACGATTTTTTGATATTTAGAAGAATATCAGTAACCAGACAGTTTCTGGTCTCATTGACTTCCATAGTATATATTTTTTTCCTAATATGGAAGTAAATAAGACCAGAAACTGTCTGATTACTGATATTATTTTAAATATCAGAAAAGCGGCTAAATGCATTTGAAAACGGTAAAACTCAACTGTTTAACTCGGGGGAAGTGGTAAAATGAGCCTATTTCCCCCCCCCAAAAAAAAAAAAAAAAAAAAAGTGGAGTATCCCTTTAAATGTTGGAATTTGTTTATCACTCTTAGAAGAAATGGTTCTATTTAGAACCAGAAATGGTTCCATCCCCCACTTCATATATGGAACTCCAAAATGGTATAAATGGTTAATGGTATCTCTATAGCATTTTTTTTTGGTAAAAGGTTCTATTGGCCATGTATTGAACCCCAGGGTTCTATATAGAACTCAGAGGAACCCTTTTTTTAAGAGTGTATTGAACCTTTTAGGGGCTCCAAATACGTATGATAGAACCTTTTAAGGTTCTATATAGCAGTGTTTCCCAACCCTGTTCCTGGCGGCACACCAACACTGCGTGTTTTCTTTGTCTCCATAATCAAACACACCCGATTCAACCCATCAGCCCACCTGATTATGAGCTGATGGGTTGAATCAGGTGTGTTTGATAAGGGAGACAAAGAATACACGCAGTGTTGGTGTGCCGCCAGGAACAGGGTTGGGAAACACTGCTATATAGAACCTTTTCTTCTAAAAGTGTGTGGTTATCCATTGTGGCCCATATAAACTTTTAAAAATAAATAAGTTAAGAATTAATGAAAATGTTTTTTGATATTGTTAGTGTCCAATTTTAAGCAGGAAAAACACCACAAATGATGTGATGACATCAAATTACGCACCATATGGAATTTGTTTTTGATCCAGTCGGTGAAAACAAGTCTGATAACATCTAATCAAGTGTTTTGCAACGGGTTAACCGAATATTAATGCTGAAGCTTATGAGCAATAGTAATGATAGTGATAGTCGACCAAATGCATACACTATAAAAATAAAACCGTAATTTTTACTGTAAAACAATGGCAGCGTTGGTTGCCAGAACTTTACAGTCAAAAATGGTTTTACAGACTTAACTTAAAATTTACAGTAATAAACCGTATTTCATTATCTGATATAATGTTAATTTTACCAACCCATTGAAGTATTGATATCTGTTTTGTACCATTGTAATACACTGACAACCACCAATCATCACAGCAGAGATGAGTCACATGATCAATCGAAGCTCATCACAAACAGGAAGATTAATACTTATATAAAGAAGCTGCTCACACAGGGAATTGTGGGAATGTCAATTTACCGTGTTTCACTGAACTGGTATTTTACCGTAAAATTACATTAGATGTACCATGAGATCTATCACAGTTATTTACCGTACGGAAACTTTCTGTTAACCATTTAACAGTTTTGCACTGTTGTCTTTTACCGTTAAAATTACGATTATTTTTAAATGTTTGAGTATTCTACAGCCTCTTTATCAAGAGTTGTTCATTTTTTCCTTTACTTTGTTTGGTTGGTGTTGGACTGACTGAAACATTGAACAGTGAAATCAATACGGGTTCACAGGCCACAGGATGACATTATCGAAGAGAGAGCGCTCTAACCGTGATAACACAGGCAGATCGTCTACCTCGTGTGAGATTCATTAATTTCCTCAGACAGCGTTTGAGTTTAGCAGCAGAATATCAATAGCCATCTGAGAGGTGCGGACGGTTCAATCAGTCGGTCTTCTGGGGAAAGATCGCCAAGAAACTTATTAACGAACGATTTGTGGAGAAAAAACTGTTGCGAATTCTTATGAAATCGGCCAACCTTTCCCAAACCCGCACAAAGGCCACGGCGCAATACCAAACTAATTTTTCACTTAAGGCACTTGCGAGTAAACCCACCAAAGGTCGGCTCCCAAGGTAGCGCAGGAGAATGAAGACATTAAATGTGCTCTATGTATTGATTGGTTTGTTATTAGTTGGGGAGAGAGAGGAAGAATCAAGCCAGAAAAGTTGTGCGATGAAGACCCGAGGTCTAAAGAGCCTTCGGCAATAAAAGGAGGATTTAGATCACGTAAGAAAACAACTGTTGACTGTTGATGCGAAACTCAACATGACTTGAAGGCCTTGAGTTAGACATCTAGAAAGAGTCAAAAACTGATGAAAGTGTGTTTTCTGAATGGCTGTGTGTTATTAAAACATCATCTATTGCAGATCCACTTCTCTGTCCGGTCTCAAAGCAAGGGCGAACGATGATTGGTCGCTGAACATCAGATGGTCTCCTTCTCTGAATAAGGTGAAAAAGAGTCTCATGATGGCCACGTGTCTAGACCATGAACATGTTTGGAAGTTGGTATGGAGAATGATTCATTGCTATACCAGACACTTTTCAATATGATAGGATCTGTATGTTAAATATATAACATTGGCCTAGTGGTTTTTACTGCAAAAATCCTACAGATTGTACCTTTAATTTTTACATTTTTACAAGGTTCCAATAAGGTTTAAGAAATGAAAACACTCCATCAATTATGGTTAGAAGAACTGTTGCCAAAACATGCTAGAAACATAATAATCACTGCAATAATGATGACTCTTAAGCGCTTGCCTATATTAAAATCCAAAAAGCGATTATTTATTTAAAAATATAAAGTTTTCTTTAGGCCAATAATACTTTTCAAGAATTCAAAGGAATTCAAAAAACAAAATGAAAGACTTGATGATTGCAGGTGAGATGGGAATGCTATGAGAGATAGAGAGAGAGAAAGCCTGAGGTATCAGCATCCACATGGTTTGCATTTCTCCAAATCCCACCAACAATCTCCTCAGAACAGAACAGGTCATCACGGAAACCCAGATGAAGATACTGCAGGGGACTGAGCATGATGGGACAGGGGTCGGGATTTGAGTCTTATTAAAACATGCTTTATGTGCTCCGGGGATTATTGTAAACTCGGATAAAGAAACATTCTTTTGCTTGAGCAAAAGCAATGCAGATAATGATCAACAAAGATGTATGACTGATAACTAAGTCCAGGATGGTTATTGCTATTGTAAACATTTACTGTGACCTGGTCTGAAAGGAAGATGTGCTGGGCTATTTCAGGTTATACATGAAGAATATTAAAAAAGACTAAAATATATCCAGACATTATAGAAGTTTTAGATCTTTTCTCTGTTTTAGGCGGATGTCCAAGACCCCCCGATTGAGCATGACAACACTGCCCTCCCGACCTCCTCATCCTCAACTAAAGCTTCTGCTTAACTCAATTAAACTCGCAACTGCGTGGAGAGTCTGGGTAAATATTATCGTAAACTTCTCCACCTTCCTACAATGACAGATATTGCCATGTTCACATGAGATGATCGTGTGATGTTCACCAAATAACAAAGAATTTTCTACAACTTTTAATTTTAATAGGCTAAGTAAATGTTGAAATTGTCCAAACTCAAATAATTTGAGGTAATCAGTTTAACATTTTTCAAGCTACGAAATTTGACATTTAAGTAAGCGGAACTTGCATATTTTTATTTACTCATACATTTTAATTGCTCTTAACTTGAAAAATTTAAGTCAGCCAATTAGTTAAAAACATAACTTAAAATTATCAAGTAATCTCAATTTAAATACGTATATCAAATAGTGGAAATATGTTAATATTTAACCAGCCAATGCAATTAATGCAATACTGTAAATGCTGCTATGGAAGCTTGTTTCATAAAAGTCGTAATTGCGAGATATAAAGTCACAATTCTGAGAAATAAAGTCGCAATTGCGAGAAAAAAATATTATTTATTTCACAATTCCGAATTTGTTTCTCACAATTGTGAGTTTACATCTCGCAATTCTGACTTTATAACACACAATTGCGAGTTTATATGTCGCAATTCTGACATCTTTTCTCAGAATTGTGAGATATAAACTCGCAATTGAGAGTTATCAGGCCAATTCTAAGGATTGTTTATATCTCACAATTAACAATTTCAACGTTATATCAATCAATTCTGACTTTATATCTTGCAATTGCGACTTTAAATCACGCAATTCTGATTTTATCACGCAATTCTGACTTTATATCTCGCAATTCGGATTTTATCACACAATTCTGACTTTATATCTCGCAATTCTGACTTTATATCTCGCAATTCTGACTTTATATCTCACAATTCTGACTTTATATCTCACAATTCTGACTTTATATCTCACAATTCTGACTTTATATCTCACAATTCTGACTTTATATCACGCAATTCTGACTTTATATCTCGCAATTCTGATTTTATATCTCACAATTCTGACTTTATATCTCACAATTCTGAGATGCGAGATGTAAACTACAAAAAAACAAAAACCCCAATGTAACAGAATAGCAAAACAAAACATTGAACACCATTAAATCTCCCACTTAACATTAATTTGGCACAAAAAAATTATATAACACTTCCTTTTGAGTGTCATGGCAAAGCATGGTAATTAGAAATCCCAGCCCGCAGTTTCAGTTAAATGTAAGTTTGTCTAAGTTGAAAGAAACAAGTTCCTAAAACTCAAAACAATGAAATAATTCATTTAACTTTAAATGTGTCAGTTTTGTGAACTCAAAAGAAAAAGAAAGTTGTATAAATACTCATAAAAGTAAAAATTTTTAGTGTATAATTTGAGTTGGCTCTACCAGTTAATTATTTTGAGCATCAGGTTTTATGCAGTAGAAGGATTGTTCATAGTTAACTAATGATGTTAACAAATGAAACCTTATTATAAAGTGTTCTTGAAATTGTTGATTTTGATTTCAAATACTTATTAATGAAAGTGCAAAAATATCATCAAATGTTTTGGAGGACGTAAGAAAAAAAGGCTGTTGCTGTGATGGTTCAATGAGCGGTGAGTTCTTCGGGTCTCCCAGCCGCTGTAACCTTCAGCAGCCGCTGCGCTGGGGGCACAGACAACAATCCCAGGATTCTGTGTGCTTTTGTCCGGAAATAACTGACACAAACTGGGGGTCAGACGCTGAGCTCTGGAATTTCGATCAAAGACGTTGTCTGCTACAGCAGGTGGGGATGCTTAGGTTTAATCAAAAGATGATTGCTTTTGTTTGACTTCTCTTGTTTTTCCGTCTTTTGCTTCAGGTCAGACATGACATTTCTTCTGCTACATTTTGAGATGTGACACCAATTCAACAGGTGAACCATGGATCAAGGTCGCTATTATATACACGGTACGAAATGCTTGTAATTCAGTTTTTTTTAGTTACCATAAACAGTAAAAAGTTTACTGTGACCATAGAAACATGTCATTTTAATGTAAAATATTGTTTAGTAAAAAAGCAAATTTGGATTTGAAATATGGATTTCTTATCATGTACATTGAAATTATATATTTAATACATCAAGACAATACATTAAATATTTTTCTGTGAAAGTTTTAACGCATTAATGGTGAAATTTATGCAAGTGGCCATTTAACATTGTTCTGGTGGTGCATATTAATCTAAAACATTAAACAAGATTAATGTAAAACAAATGAACAAAAGAAAAACATTTACAGTGATTAAAAAGCCTTTTTTTTAAACTAGAGCTTCCAGTTTCACCGTGTAACTTTTAACACACACACACATTTTTTTTTTTTTACATTTTTTTTTTGCATTAGTATGTTTTGCAAAATGTAATGCATTGAATATATTGGTGTGAAAGTCTTGTAAGCGGCATGTTGGATTGTATCGACACACACACACACAAAGGTTTTACAATCTACACCATTCAAAAGTTTAAGGTTGGTATACATTTATTTAGGTTGGTGTATGTTTTTAATGTTTTGAAATACATCTATTCTGATCATCAAAGTTGCGTTTAATCAAAAATACTGAAAAACTGTCATTTTGTAAAATATAATTACAATTCAAAATAACTGTTTTTATTTGATTATATTGTGAAATGTAATTTATTCCTGTGATCAAAGCATCATTACTCCAGTCTTCAGTGTCACATGATCCTTCAGAAATGATGATTTGCAGCTCAAGAAACATTTCTGATAATTATCAACGTTGAAAACAGTTGTGCTGATTCATATTTTTGTTTTTTTTGTTTTTTTTTTACAGGATTTTGTCTTATTTGTAATCATCATCAGGTGCTTTAAGACAAAGTGACATTCACAGGCGAGTTTTTGATTGGACAAAAATATATTTGTATATCTGTTTTTATGGCATGATTTGATTCTGAGTTCACAGGTGAAAGTGTTTCTTTCTCAGCGCTCTATGATCCCATGACCTCAGATCTTCATCTTTAAGTGCAAATCCGTCAGTGAATATCCAGCTGGGCCTCTCTAGATCCCAGCAGATGTTCCTGTCTCTAGTCTTCTCCATCCAGGGATCTGCAGCTCCAAATATCTTTCTAGATCTGCTCCAGGTGAAAAAATGGATTCATTTTTGCAAAACATTCAATTCACTGCAGAGTTCAGCTCAAGTAAACACTAGGGGCAGTAAATGTTTGTTCCTTTTCACAGATTATGGACTGATGAAGACTTGTTCTGCTTGCACAAACTATATGTCCTTCTGACCTCAAAAGGTTTGCACCACATAATCAGCTCCATATATGTTATTTCATGATGTAGTGAACTTGCTCGTTGGCTCAGCAGAATTGTATTTGCATGAGCCATGTGACACACCAGTCACCTTGCTCTGTTCTGTAATGCATGTTTGTGACTCTCCGATTTGAACTCGTTCATCAAAATGAACAAATCTTTTCTGAGTCAGTTTGTTCGTTTTGTTCATTGAATAAACCAAATGACTCAGAAAAAGATTTGAACGAGTTCAAACAGGAGAGCATCACAGAACAGAGCAAGGTGACTATTTGAGCTTACACAACATCAACTTTTTTTTTTTTTTTGTTAATGAGCGATCGTTTCACTTGATAAGATCCTTATTCATCGTCTGGAATCGTTTAAAGCCCTTTAAATAGTTTGCAGTTTGCACTGAAACTCTCATTTGGACCTTGAACCGTTTGGACCCCATTGAAGTCCATTATATGGAGAAAATCCTGGAATGTTTTCATCAAAAGCCTTAATTTCTTTTCGACTGAAGAAATCTTGGATGACATGGGGGTGAGTAAATCATCAGCAAAAGTTTTTTCAAAAGTGAACTACTCCTTTAAGTGCAACTCAACAGAACGTGTTAAAGGGACCAAGTATATAAGTATATTTGTATATTATTATACACAGTACTGTATATTATTACATTTCTTTTTACAAATCCTTTTGCAGAAATGTAGCTACAGGCAATTTTTTTTCCCTCCGTCCTCATACCGAAGCGTTTGTACAAATGAAAATAGAAAAAAAGGCTTGCTCACAGGACAGTCTCCTCTTACAACAGCATCTGTGAAGCTCAAACCTGAACTCTATGAAGTAGGTTTCAATCCAAGTAAGTTCACCCCGTGCCAAAAGCCCTCAGTCATTCTGAGTTCCTTCATTTCGGAGCTTCCCAAGTTCCCGAGCCCAAGCCCATCTCCACCTTGAGCTCACGTGAGACAAGGCCCGGGTCTTATCAAACGGACTTTTGTTCTCCACGGCTTGGCTCGGGTCTCTGAGGATGAGAGATGCAGTTAATACCCAGGGAAGTGGCCCTAATCGCCCGGCGCTATTACTGTGGCCAATATCAGCGGGGATGACAGACTTATTGATTCCAGAGCTGCAGGTGGACACAGGTGACTGGCCTCCTCCACGGCTGGGGTTTGATCTGCGCTCGGCTGGGCAAGAACAGCTCTGTCTCACCTGTGCCGTCGTGGCATGCGGAGTCCATCTCCAGCCATTAGCCCACAGGACTGAGCTTAAGCCCTCAATTGCAGCTGATGAGTCCTGAGTGTACAGCTGATTGAAACGCTATCTAAATTTGGGGATTTTCTGCTTAATGTGTCTCTACAATAGATAAAATTCTTCTAAATGAGTATTTAAAGGTGCACTCTGTCATTCTGTACTCATTAAAAAACTAAAAATTAAATAATAAAGAAAGAAAAAGAGAAACACATGACTATGAGAAACATAAATGTCAAAAATATTTTCAAGATTTGTTATCACAACAATTTTTTTTTGTCAAATCAACTTTATAATAATTTATTTAGTTGAGATAACATATTATTTTGAGTTTCTGATCTACTTCATTGTATTAACTCACTTTTTCCAGTTCAATCAACTTAAAATTTTAAGGCAACCCAGATTACTTACTTTTTTAAGTTAAACCAACAATATTTTTTTACAATGTAGTAATCACAACATTTTTTCTTTTGTCAAATCAACTTAAATAATCTATTTAGTTCAGATAACATATAATTTTGAGTTTCTGATGGTTAAATGAATCTACTTCATTGTATTAACTCACTTTTTCCAGTTCAATCAACTTAAAATTTTAAGGCAACCCAGGCTACTTACTTTTTTAAGTTAAACCATCAATATTTTTTTTACAGTGCAGACGTTGGAGTAAAAATACAGTAAAAAAAGTGTTAATGGGAAAAATGATGAATGTCCTTGTAATTTACGTGTACACGTTGACATCAGCGCAGTCTCATCCCAAGACGTCATATAACTGACATCTTGGGACGTCTTTGGACCATACGTCAACATCCGCCTTTTTAGGGTACCCTAGATGACGTTATCGGATCCTAACCCTTCCCCAGACCTAAACCTACCCCGTCACCTAACTGACGTTAAAGGTAAAGCGTCAGTTGTATGACGTCCCAGGATCGTCATGTAAACAACGTTTAAGGGTACCCTAAAAAGACAGATGTTGACGTATGGTCAAAAGACGTCCCAAGACGTCAGACTTCTTGGGATGAGACTGTGTTATTGACATACCAAGAAAAAATGCGGTAAAATACTGTTAAAAATGTGATTTATTGTGGTGGGTTTAATGTAATGATGGTGAAAATTATGTGAGTCTATTTGTGGCCAGTGGATTGTCCAAACATGAGTACAAGTAAAAAAATATTGCCCCCTCCCACCCCCCCCCAAAAAAAAAAGCAATAAAAAAGTAAAGGACAATAAACAATAAAAGCAATAAACAACAGAAAGAACAAAACAAAATGAAAATGCCATGAAATTTGCAGATGCATTATATATATATATATATATATACATATCATATACATATATATATATAATTTTTTTTTTCATGTTACACATCATGTTTGAGCTTCTGCAAGAACCAATGAGGTTCATTCTTGTGTTACGCATCACGTTTGAGCTTCTGCAAGAACCAATGAGGTTCATTCTTGTGTATTTGAAGCGTCAAAGTGGTAGTTGCGTAGCTGTCAATGGAGGGACAGAAATTGACATTCATCACAACAATGAACAAAAGTCCTACGTGTTTTGGAACGACATGAAAGTGGCTAATTGATGATAGAATTTTAATTTTTCTGTGAACTCCAAACTCCATAATGCTCCATAAGGTGTTTGAGCAATTCAGTGGTTGGCGAAGCAAACCAAGGATCAGGACGATTTACACTCTTAGAAGAAAAGGTTCTCTATAGAACCTTAAAAGGTTCTATCAGCGCTACGTATTTGGAACCCCTAAAAGGTTCTATACACTCTTATAAAAGGGTTCCTCTGGGTTCTATATGAAGAGTTCAGATGCAAAAGCCTCTAAATGCCATTTGAAATTTTCTTCTTCAATGATGATTTTTGTCCAACTTGTATATTTACGTTCAGTAATTTCACTTATGATAATTACCTATTAATTGTTATTTAAGTTAAATTACTGAACTTAAATATACAAGTTTTATAAAAATCATCATTAAAGAAGAAAATTTCAAATGGCATTTAGAGGCTTTTGCATCTGAACTCTTCATATAGAACCCTGGGGTTCCGTACTTGGCCAATAGAACCTTTTACAAAAAAAATGGTTCTATATAGAACCATTTTGGAGTTCCATATATGGAGCGGGGGATGGAACCATTTCTGGTTCTAAATAGAACCATTTGTTCTAAGAGTGTAGCGTGAGCAGTTTGGAGGAGTGTGCACGCTAAGTGTTGGCAAGGTCTCTCCGGAGTTATGCCATGTTTTGTGCTTCAGTCGCTGTCTGTCAGTATCGGTGAGATTGCCGGTAGGAATATAATCATACACCATTGTGCTTTCCTGAGATATATAATAAACCCCATTGAGCTTTCTGTCACCGTTCACCTTGATAGTGTGTCCATCAAAATATTGATTCAGTACGATATGTAATGGCACATTGATTTTCTGCTGAAGCTGTGGAGTGATGGACAGAAGCTTGCTCTTTTTTCCAGCACGACCCAATCAAACCTCTGCGCTCTCATTCTTACAGTTGAAGGAAGGGATTTTTATTGTTTTACAGCTATTGAGCTTCAGAGAAGGTTAAAGTTGGAATAATATTAATCTTTAAACCAACTCTGACAATCTATAGACAGACACCGGCTTCCCCAGAGAAAAAGTTTATTGCTTGTGGTTGTTCTTTTGTAACTCAAGAGGCTTAACTGAAGTTTGCTTCAGATGTTTCTCCTAAAACTCCTTAAAGCAGAAATAACACAAGGAAATAGTTGATGTATACACTGTAAAATAATAATAAAATAAAAAATGTTTGCTACTCAAATTAAATGACTAATTCAATTGAATTAACTAAATAAAAATGAATAAATTATACATATTTTTAGACATAAAAACAATAAAATGAGAAAACAGAAAATATAAAAATAGACAGCCCATTCTCACTCCCAAGGCGTCACCTAACTGACGCCTTGGGAAGCATTTGGACATGCTTCAATATCTGACGCTTTAGGCGCCCTTTAGCGTCAATTCGATGACGCCCTAGGATCGCGTGTACCCTACCCCCACCCCACACCTAAACCTAACCGCGTCCTCTAACTGACGCTTTCCTTTAGCGTCAGTTAGATGACGCCGTAGGATCGCGTCATGTAAGTGACGCTAAAGGGCGCTTAAAACGTCACATATTGAAGCATGGTCAAAGGTGACGCCTTGGGGTGAGAATGCGTTGCAATAGAATGTAATTCTACATTACAAAACCTATAACAGTATATCAATGATAGTAAAATAGCGCTGCTGAGCACATGACAGTTTTGACAAACAGCAGTTCTTCAATTTTTCTTCATATAATCGCACTGTTGTCTAAGAGAAAAATTTGCTTCTATATGCAAATAATATTAAAACCATTCCACAATGTTATATTAATAGCTGCAGTTATGTGTGTTATATGAACATGAGGTGTAGGCTTACATGCCTATCAGATTATAGGCTTAATAAATAGTCACATTTATCGTCATTCCAGAAAGATTCAGTATATATGGCTTGAGTAAATGAATAATATTCATACTGTCAGTATGAATGATAACATGAGGTGACTTAATCGTAAGCAAGAGCTTAGTTACACTCTGACTGCTGGGCAATTTTACAAGACAATATATATTTCATAAGGCTGAAAGTCAACATGGACAGAGCTCAATTATTCTGTGTATTTTGTTAGTTTGCTGAAGCATAGGCTATATCAAGCTGTTTCAACAATTGATTACATATATGCAAGCAAAAAACATGAATATCATGAACTGAGCATTCATGTTTAAATACGTTTTATGTAGCCTATAGAAAAATTTCTTGGTATTTAGTTGTATTTTCAGTTTCCATCACTCTTCAAGCTCCCATATTATACAGACCGATGGATGGATGGATATATGAAATGATGGACAGATGCCTTTTGTGCACGAGAGAGAGTGTGGCACACCTGGAAGAGCTCTGGATCCTCTGATCTTTGCACCTGTGACTGCAGGAATGACTGATCAAGCGTTCAGCTCGACACGACAAAGACTCTCTTCAC